AAACACGCCTCCATGCATGGGATGACCCAAAAACACGCCTCCATGCATGTGGATGACCCAAACACGCCCTCCATTGACCCAAAACACCGCCTCCATGCATGTGGATGACCCAAACACGCCTCCATGCATGTGGATGACCCAAACACGCCTCCATGCATGTGGATGACCCAAACACGCCTCCATGCATGGGGATGACCCAAACACGCCTCCATGCATGTGGATGACCCAAACACGCCTCCATGCATGTGGATGACCCAAACACGCCTCCATGCATGTGGATGACCCAAACACGCCTCCATGCATGGGGATGACCCAAACACGCCTCCATGCATGTGGATGACCCAAACACGCCTCCATGCATGGGGATGACCCAAACACGCCTCCATGCATGGGGATGACCCAAACACGCCTCCATGCATGTGGATGACCCAAACACGCCTCCATGCATGTGGATGACCCAAACACGCCTCCATGCATGGGGATGACCCAAACACGCCTCCATGCATGTGGATGACCCAAACACGCCTCCATGCATGTGGATGACCCAAACACGCCTCCATGCATGTGGATGACCCAAACACGCCTCCATGCATGTGGATGACCCAAACACGCCTCCATGCATGGGGATGACCCAAACACGCCTCCATGCATGTGGATGACCCAAACACGCCTCCATGCATGTGGATGACCCAAACACGCCTCCATGCATGGGGATGACCCAAACACGCCTCCATGCATGTGGATGACCCAAACACGCCTCCATGCATGTGGATGACCCAAACACGCCTCCATGCATGTGGATGACCCAAACACGCCTCCATGCATGTGGATGACCCAAACACGCCTCCATGCATGTGGATGACCCAAACACGCCTCCATGCATGTGGATGACCCAAACACGCCTCCATGCATGTGGATGACCCAAACACGCCTCCATGCATGTGGATGACCCAAACACGCCTCCATGCATGTGGATGACCCAAACACGCCTCCATGCATGTGGATGACCCAAACACGCCTCCATGCATGGGGATGACCCAAACACGCCTCCATGCATGTGGATGACCCAAACACGCCTCCATGCATGTGGATGACCCAAACACGCCTCCATGCATGTGGATGACCCAAACACGCCTCCATGCATGTGGATGACCCAAACACGCCTCCATGCATGTGGATGACCCAAACACGCCTCCATGCATGTGGATGACCCAAACACGCCTCCATGCATGTGGATGACCCAAACACGCCTCCATGCATGGGGATGACCCAAACACGCCTCCATGCATGGGGATGACCCAAACACGCCTCCATGCATGTGGATGACCCAAACACGCCTCCATGCATGGGGATGACCCAAACACGCCTCCATGCATGTGGATGACCCAAACACGCCTCCATGCATGTGGATGACCCCAACCACGCCTCCATGCATGGGATGACCCAAACACGCCTCCATGCATGTGGATGACCCACCCCAAAATGGAACCCAAAACACGCCTCCATGCATGGGATGACCCAAACACGCCTCCATGCATGTGGATGACCCAAACACGCCTCCATGCATGTGGATGACCCAAACACGCCTCCATGCATGTGGATGACCCAAACACGCCTCCATGCATGTGGATGACCCAAACACGCCTCCATGCATGGGGATGACCCAAACACGCCTCCATGCATGTGGATGACCCAAACACGCCTCCATGCATGTGGATGACCCAAACACGCCTCCATGCATGTGGATGACCCAAACACGCCTCCATGCATGTGGATGACCCAAACACGCCTCCATGCATGTGGATGACCCAAACACGCCTCCATGCATGGGGATGACCCAAACACGCCTCCATGCATGTGGATGACCCAAACACGCCTCCATGCATGTGGATGACCCAAACACGCCTCCATGCATGTGGATGACCCAAACACGCCTCCATGCATGGGGATGACCCAAACACGCCTCCATGCATGTGGATGACCCAAACACGCCTCCATGCATGTGGATGACCCAAACACGCCTCCATGCATGTGGATGACCCAAACACGCCTCCATGCATGTGGATGACCCAAACACGCCTCCATGCATGTGGATGACCCAAACACGCCTCCATGCATGGGGATGACCCAAACACGCCTCCATGCATGTGGATGACCCAAACACGCCTCCATGCATGTGGATGACCCAAACACGCCTCCATGCATGTGGATGACCCAAACACGCCTCCATGCATGTGGATGACCCAAACACGCCTCCATGCATGTGGATGACCCAAACACGCCTCCATGCATGTGGATGACCCAAACACGCCTCCATGCATGTGGATGACCCAAACACGCCTCCATGCATGTGGATGACCCAAACACGCCTCCATGCATGTGGATGACCCAAACACGCCTCCATGCATGTGGATGACCCAAACACGCCTCCATGCATGTGGATGACCCAAACACGCCTCCATGCATGTGGATGACCCAAACACGCCTCCATGCATGGGGATGACCCAACAACCGCCTCCATGCATGTGGATGACCCCAACACCAAACACGCCTCCATGCATGTGGATGACCCAAACACGCCTCCATGCATGTGGATGACCCAAACACGCCTCCATGCATGTGGATGACCCAAACACGCCTCCATGCATGTGGATGACCCAAACACGCCTCCATGCATGTGGATGACCCAAACACGCCTCCATGCATGTGGATGACCCAAACACGCCTCCATGCATGTGGATGACCCAAACACGCCTCCATGCATGTGGATGACCCAAACACGCCTCCATGCATGTGGATGACCCAAACACGCCTCCATGCATGGGGATGACCCAAACACGCCTCCATGCATGTGGATGACCCAAACACGCCTCCATGCATGTGGATGACCCACCCCCCCCAACCCCCAAACACGCCTCCATGCATGTGGATGACCCAAACACGCCTCCATGCATGTGGATGACCCAAACACGCCTCCATGCATGTGGATGACCCAAACACGCCTCCATGCATGTGGATGACCCAAACACGCCTCCATGCATGTGGATGACCCAAACACGCCTCCATGCATGTGGATGACCCAAACACGCCTCCATGCATGTGGATGACCCAAACACGCCTCCATGCATGTGGATGACCCACCCAAACAAGCCCTCCATGCATGTGGATGACCCCAAAACACGCCTCTGCATGCATGTGGATGACCCAAACCCCCCCCCAAAACACGCCTCCATGCATTGGGATGACCCAAACACGCCTCCATGCATGGGGATGACCCAAACACGCCTCCATGCATGTGGATGACCCAAACACGCCTCCATGCATGTGGATGACCCAAACACGCCTCCATGCATGTGGATGACCCAAACACGCCTCCATGCATGTGGATGACCCAAACACGCCTCCATGCATGTGGATGACCCAAAACCGCCTCCATGCATGTGGATGACCCAAACACGCCTCCATGCATGTGGATGACCCAAACACGCCTCCATGCATGGGGATGACCCAAACACGCCTCCATGCATGTGGATGACCCAAACACGCCTCCATGCATGTGGATGACCCAAACACGCCTCCATGCATGTGGATGACCCAAACACGCCTCCATGCATGTGGATGACCCAAACACGCCTCCATGCATGTGGATGACCCAAACACGCCTCCATGCATGTGGATGACCCAAACACGCCTCCATGCATGTGGATGACCCAAACACGCCTCCATGCATGTGGATGACCCAAACACGCCTCCATGCATGGGGATGACCCAAACACGCCTCCATGCATGTGGATGACCCAAACACGCCTCCATGCATGGGGATGACCCAAACACGCCTCCATGCATGTGGATGACCCAAACACGCCTCCATGCATGTGGATGACCCAAACACGCCTCCATGCATGGTGATGAACCCAAACACGCCTCCATGCATGGGGATGACCCAAACACGCCTCCATGCATGTGGATGACCCAAACACGCCTCCATGCATGGGGATGACCCAAACACGCCTCCATGCATGTGGATGACCCAAACACGCCTCCATGCATGTGGATGACCCAAACACGCCTCCATGCATGGGGATGACCCAAACACGCCTCCATGCATGTGGATGACCCAAACACGCCTCCATGCATGTGGATGACCCAAACACGCCTCCATGCATGGGGATGACCCAAACACGCCTCCATGCATGTGGATGACCCAAACACCCCCAGGACCCCAAACACGCCTCCATGCATGTGGATGACCCAAACACGCCTCCATGCATGTGGATGACCCAAACACGCCTCCATGCATGTGGATGACCCAAACACGCCTCCATGCATGGGGATGACCCAAACACGCCTCCATGCATGGGGATGACCCAAACACGCCTCCATGCATGTGGATGACCCAAACACGCCTCCATGCATGGGGATGACCCAAACACGCCTCCATGCATGTGGATGACCCAAACACGCCTCCATGCATGTGGATGACCCAAACACGCCTCCATGCATGGGGATGACCCAAACACGCCTCCATGCATGTGGATGACCCAAACACGCCTCCATGCATGTGGATGACCCAAACACCCCCCATGTGGATGACCCAAACACGCCTCCATGCATGGGGATGACCCAAACACGCCTCCATGCATGTGGATGACCCAAACACGCCTCCATGCATGGGGATGACCCAAACACGCCTCCATGCATGTGGATGACCCAAACACGCCTCCATGCATGTGGATGACCCAAACACGCCTCCATGCATGTGGATGACCCAAACACGCCTCCATGCATGTGGATGACCCAAACACGCCTCCATGCATGTGGATGACCCAAACACGCCTCCATGCATGTGGATGACCCAAACACGCCTCCATGCATGTGGATGACCCAAACACGCCTCCATGCATGTGGATGACCCCACCCCACCCACCATGTGAAACACACGCCTCCATGCATGTGGATGACCCAAACACGCCTCCATGCATGTGGATGACCCACCCAAAACGCCTCCATGCATGTGGATGACCCAAACACGCCTCCATGCATGTGGATGACCCAAACACGCCTCCATGCATGTGGATGACCCAAACACGCCTCCATGCATGTGGATGACCCAAACACGCCTCCATGCATGTGGATGACCCAAACACGCCTCCATGCATGGGGATGACCCAAACACGCCTCCATGCATGTGGATGACCCAAACACGCCTCCATGCATGTGGATGACCCAAACACGCCTCCATGCATGTGGATGACCCAAACACGCCTCCATGCATGTGGATGACCCAAACACGCCTCCATGCATGTGGATGACCCAAACACGCCTCCATGCATGTGGATGACCCAAACACGCCTCCATGCATGTGGATGACCCAAACACGCCTCCATGCATGTGGATGACCCACCCAAAACGCCTCCATGCATGTGGATGACCCAAACACGCCTCCATGCATGTGGATGACCCAAACACGCCTCCATGCATGTGGATGACCCAAACACGCCTCCATGCATGTGGATGAACCCAAAACACGCCTCCATGCATGTGGATGACCCAAACACGCCTCCATGCATGGGGATGACCCAAACACGCCTCCATGCATGGGGATGACCCAAACACGCCTCCATGCATGTGGATGACCCAAACACGCCTCCATGCATGTGGATGACCCAAACACGCCTCCATGCATGTGGATGACCCAAACACGCCTCCATGCATGTGGATGACCCAAACACGCCTCCATGCATGTGGATGACCCAAACACGCCTCCATGCATGTGGATGACCCAAACACGCCTCCATGCATGTGGATGACCCAAACACGCCTCCATGCATGTGGATGACCCAAACACGCCTCCATGCATGTGGATGACCCAAACACGCCTCCATGCATGTGGATGACCCAAACACGCCTCCATGCATGGGGATGACCCAAACACGCCTCCATGCATGTGGATGACCCAAACACGCCTCCATGCATGTGGATGACCCAAACACGCCTCCATGCATGTGGATGACCCAAACACGCCTCCATGCATGTGGATGACCCAAACACGCCTCCATGCATGTGGATGACCCAAACACGCCTCCATGCATGTGGATGACCCAAACACGCCTCCATGCATGTGGATGACCCAAACACGCCTCCATGCATGTGGATGACCCAAACACGCCTCCATGCATGTGGATGACCCAAACACGCCTCCATGCATGTGGATGACCCAAACACGCCTCCATGCATGTGGATGACCCAAACACGCCTCCATGCATGTGGATGACCCAAACACGCCTCCATGCATGTGGATGACCCAAACACGCCTCCATGCATGTGGATGACCCAAACACGCCTCCATGCATGTGGATGACCCAAACACGCCTCCATGCATGTGGATGACCCAAACACGCCTCCATGCATGTGGATGACCCAAACACGCCTCCATGCATGTGGATGACCCAAACACGCCTCCATGCATGTGGATGACCCAAACACGCCTCCATGCATGTGGATGACCCAAACACGCCTCCATGCATGTGGATGACCCAAACACGCCTCCATGCATGTGGATGACCCAAACACGCCTCCATGCATGTGGATGACCCAAACACGCCTCCATGCATGTGGATGACCCAAACACGCCTCCATGCATGTGGATGACCCAAACACGCCTCCATGCATGTGGATGACCCAAACACGCCTCCATGCATGTGGATGACCCAAACACGCCTCCATGCATGTGGATGACCCCAACAAACACCCGCCTCCATGCATGGGGATGACCCAAACACGCCTCCATGCATGTGGATGACCCAAACACGCCTCCATGCATGTGGATGACCCAAACACGCCTCCATGCATGTGGATGACCCAAACACGCCTCCATGCATGTGGATGACCCAAACACGCCTCCATGCATGTGGATGACCCAAACACGCCTCCATGCATGGGGATGACCCAAACACGCCTCCATGCATGTGGATGACCCAAACACGCCTCCATGCATGTGGATGACCCAAACACGCCTCCATGCATGTGGATGACCCAAACACGCCTCCATGCATGTGGATGACCCAAACACGCCTCCATGCATGTGGATGACCCAAACACGCCTCCATGCATGGGGATGACCCAAACACGCCTCCATGCATGGGGATGACCCAAACACGCCTCCATGCATGGGGATGACCCAAACACGCCTCCATGCATGGGGATGACCCAAACACGCCTCCATGCATGGGGATGACCCAAACACGCCTCCATGCATGGGGATGACCCAAACACGCCTCCATGCATGGGGATGACCCAAACACGCCTCCATGCATGGGGATGACCCAAACACGCCTCCATGCATGTGGATGACCCAAACACGCCTCCATGCATGTGGATGACCCAAACACGCCTCCATGCATGTGGATGACCCAAACACGCCTCCATGCATGTGGATGACCCAAACACGCCTCCATGCATGTGGATGACCCAAACACGCCTCCATGCATGTGGATGACCCAAACACGCCTCCATGCATGGGGATGACCCAAACACGCCTCCATGCATGTGGATGACCCAAACACGCCTCCATGCATGTGGATGACCCAAACACGCCTCCATGCATGGGGATGACCCAAACACGCCTCCATGCATGTGGATGACCCAAACACGCCTCCATGCATGGGGATGACCCAAACACGCCTCCATGCATGTGGATGACCCAAACACGCCTCCATGCATGTGGATGACCCAAACACGCCTCCATGCATGTGGATGACCCAAACACGCCTCCATGCATGTGGATGACCCAAACACGCCTCCATGCATGTGGATGACCCAAACACGCCTCCATGCATGTGGATGACCCAAACACGCCTCCATGCATGTGGATGACCCAAACACGCCTCCATGCATGTGGATGACCCAAACACGCCTCCATGCATGTGGATGACCCAAACACGCCTCCATGCATGTGGATGACCCAAACACGCCTCCATGCATGTGGATGACCCAAACACGCCTCCATGCATGGGGATGACCCAAACACGCCTCCATGCATGTGGATGACCCAAACACGCCTCCATGCATGGGGATGACCCAAACACGCCTCCATGCATGTGGATGCGCCTCCATGATGGATGACCCAAACACGCCTCCATGCATGTGGATGACCCACCCATCCTCCAATGTGGATGACCCAACACGCCTCCATGCATGTGGATGACCCAAACACGCCTCCATGCATGTGGATGACCCAAACACGCCTCCATGCATGTGGATGACCCAAACACGCCTCCATGCATGTGGATGACCCAAACACGCCTCCATGCATGTGGATGACCCAAACACGCCTCCATGCATGTGGATGACCCAAACACGCCTCCATGCATGTGGATGACCCAAACACGCCTCCATGCATGTGGATGACCCAAACACGCCTCCATGCATGTGGATGACCCAAACACGCCTCCATGCATGTGGATGACCCAAACACGCCTCCATGCATGTGGATGACCCAAACACGCCTCCATGCATGTGGATGACCCAAACACGCCTCCATGCATGTGGATGACCCAAACACGCCTCCATGCATGTGGATGACCCAAACACGCCTCCATGCATGTGGATGACCCAAACACGCCTCCATGCATGTGGATGACCCAAACACGCCTCCATGCATGTGGATGACCCAAACACGCCTCCATGCATGTGGATGACCCAAACACGCCTCCATGCATGTGGATGACCCAAACACGCCTCCATGCATGTGGATGACCCAAACACGCCTCCATGCATGTGGATGACCCAAACACGCCTCCATGCATGTGGATGACCCAAACACGCCTCCATGCATGTGGATGACCCAAACACGCCTCCATGCATGTGGATGACCCAAACACGCCTCCATGCATGTGGATGACCCAAACACGCCTCCATGCATGTGGATGACCCAAACACGCCTCCATGCATGTGGATGACCCAAACACGCCTCCATGCATGTGGATGACCCAAACACGCCTCCATGCATGTGGATGACCCAAACACGCCTCCATGCATGTGGATGACCCAAACACGCCTCCATGCATGTGGATGACCCAAACACGCCTCCATGCATGTGGATGACCCAAACACGCCTCCATGCATGTGGATGACCCAAACACGCCTCCATGCATGTGGATGACCCAAACACGCCTCCATGCATGTGGATGACCCAAACACGCCTCCATGCATGTGGATGACCCAAACACGCCTCCATGCATGTGGATGACCCAAACACGCCTCCATGCATGGGGATGACCCAAACACGCCTCCATGCATGTGGATGACCCAAACACGCCTCCATGCATGTGGATGACCCAAACACGCCTCCATGCATGTGGATGACCCAAACACGCCTCCATGCATGTGGATGACCCAAACACGCCTCCATGCATGTGGATGACCCAAACACGCCTCCATGCATGGGGATGACCCAAACACGCCTCCATGCATGTGGATGACCCAAACACGCCTCCATGCATGTGGATGACCCAAACACGCCTCCATGCATGTGGATGACCCAAACACGCCTCCATGCATGTGGATGACCCAAACACGCCTCCATGCATGTGGATGACCCAAACACGCCTCCATGCATGTGGATGACCCAAACACGCCTCCATGCATGTGGATGACCCAAACACGCCTCCATGCATGTGGATGACCCAAACACGCCTCCATGCATGTGGATGACCCAAACACGCCTCCATGCATGTGGATGACCCAAACACGCCTCCATGCATGTGGATGACCCAAACACGCCTCCATGCATGTGGATGACCCAAACACGCCTCCATGCATGTGGATGACCCAAACACGCCTCCATGCATGTGGATGACCCAAACACGCCTCCATGCATGTGGATGACCCAAACACGCCTCCATGCATGTGGATGACCCAAACACGCCTCCATGCATGTGGATGACCCAAACACGCCTCCATGCATGTGGATGACCCAAACACGCCTCCATGCATGTGGATGACCCAAACACGCCTCCATGCATGTGGATGACCCAAACACGCCTCCATGCATGTGGATGACCCAAACACGCCTCCATGCATGTGGATGACCCAAACACGCCTCCATGCATGTGGATGACCCAAACACGCCTCCATGCATGTGGATGACCCAAACACGCCTCCATGCATGTGGATGACCCAAACACGCCTCCATGCATGTGGATGACCCAAACACGCCTCCATGCATGTGGATGACCCAAACACGCCTCCATGCATGTGGATGACCCAAACACGCCTCCATGCATGTGGATGACCCAAACACGCCTCCATGCATGGGGATGACCCAAACACGCCTCCATGCATGTGGATGACCCAAACACGCCTCCATGCATGTGGATGACCCAAACACGCCTCCATGCATGTGGATGACCCAAACACGCCTCCATGCATGTGGATGACCCAAACACGCCTCCATGCATGTGGATGACCCAAACACGCCTCCATGCATGTGGATGACCCAAACACGCCTCCATGCATGTGGATGACCCAAACACGCCTCCATGCATGTGGATGACCCAAACACGCCTCCATGCATGGGGATGACCCAAACACGCCTCCATGCATGTGGATGACCCAAACACGCCTCCATGCATGTGGATGACCCAAACACGCCTCCATGCATGTGGATGACCCAAACACGCCTCCATGCATGTGGATGACCCAAACACGCCTCCATGCATGGGGATGACCCAAACACGCCTCCATGCATGTGGATGACCCAAACACGCCTCCATGCATGTGGATGACCCAAACACGCCTCCATGCATGGGGATGACCCAAACACGCCTCCATGCATGTGGATGACCCAAACACGCCTCCATGCATGTGGATGACCCAAACACGCCTCCATGCATGTGGATGACCCAAACACGCCTCCATGCATGGGGATGACCCAAACACGCCTCCATGCATGGGGATGACCCAAACACGCCTCCATGCATGGGGATGACCCAAACACGCCTCCATGCATGTGGATGACCCAAACACGCCTCCATGCATGTGGATGACCCAAACACGCCTCCATGCATGTGGATGACCCAAACACGCCTCCATGCATGGGGATGACCCAAACACGCCTCCATGCATGGGGATGACCCAAACACGCCTCCATGCATGTGGATGACCCAAACACGCCTCCATGCATGTGGATGACCCAAACACGCCTCCATGCATGTGGATGACCCAAACACGCCTCCATGCATGTGGATGACCCAAACACGCCTCCATGCATGGGGATGACCCAAACACGCCTCCATGCATGGGGATGACCCAAACACGCCTCCATGCATGTGGATGACCCAAACACGCCTCCATGCATGGGGATGACCCAAACACGCCTCCATGCATGTGGATGACCCAAACACGCCTCCATGCATGGGGATGACCCAAACACGCCTCCATGCATGGGGATGACCCAAACACGCCTCCATGCATGTGGATGACCCAAACACGCCTCCATGCATGGGGATGACCCAAACACGCCTCCATGCATGTGGATGACCCAAACACGCCTCCATGCATGTGGATGACCCAAACACGCCTCCATGCATGTGGATGACCCAAACACGCCTCCATGCATGTGGATGACCCAAACACGCCTCCATGCATGTGGATGACCCAAACACGCCTCCATGCATGTGGATGACCCAAACACGCCTCCATGCATGTGGATGACCCAAACACGCCTCCATGCATGTGGATGACCCAAACACGCCTCCATGCATGTGGATGACCCAAACACGCCTCCATGCATGTGGATGACCCAAACACGCCTCCATGCATGTGGATGACCCAAACACGCCTCCATGCATGTGGATGACCCAAACACGCCTCCATGCATGTGGATGACCCAAACACGCCTCCATGCATGTGGATGACCCAAACACGCCTCCATGCATGTGGATGACCCAAACACGCCTCCATGCATGTGGATGACCCAAACACGCCTCCATGCATGGGGATGACCCAAACACGCCTCCATGCATGGGGATGACCCAAACACGCCTCCATGCATGGGGATGACCCAAACACGCCTCCATGCATGTGGATGACCCAAACACGCCTCCATGCATGTGGATGACCCAAACACGCCTCCATGCATGTGGATGACCCAAACACGCCTCCATGCATGGGGATGACCCAAACACGCCTCCATGCATGGGGATGACCCAAACACGCCTCCATGCATGTGGATGACCCAAACACGCCTCCATGCATGGGGATGACCCAAACACGCCTCCATGCATGTGGATGACCCAAACACGCCTCCATGCATGTGGATGACCCAAACACGCCTCCATGCATGTGGATGACCCAAACACGCCTCCATGCATGTGGATGACCCAAACACGCCTCCATGCATGTGGATGACCCAAACACGCCTCCATGCATGTGGATGACCCAAACACGCCTCCATGCATGGGGATGACCCAAACACGCCTCCATGCATGTGGATGACCCAAACACGCCTCCATGCATGTGGATGACCCAAACACGCCTCCATGCATGGGGATGACCCAAACACGCCTCCATGCATGTGGATGACCCAAACACGCCTCCATGCATGGGGATGACCCAAACACGCCTCCATGCATGGGGATGACCCAAACACGCCTCCATGCATGTGGATGACCCAAACACGCCTCCATGCATGGGGATGACCCAAACACGCCTCCATGCATGTGGATGACCCAAACACGCCTCCATGCATGTGGATGACCCAAACACGCCTCCATGCATGTGGATGACCCAAACACGCCTCCATGCATGTGGATGACCCAAACACGCCTCCATGCATGTGGATGACCCAAACACGCCTCCATGCATGTGGATGACCCAAACACGCCTCCATGCATGTGGATGACCCAAACACGCCTCCATGCATGTGGATGACCCAAACACGCCTCCATGCATGGGGATGACCCAAACACGCCTCCATGCATGGGGATGACCCAAACACGCCTCCATGCATGGGGATGACCCAAACACGCCTCCATGCATGGGGATGACCCAAACACGCCTCCATGCATGTGGATGACCCAAACACGCCTCCATGCATGGGGATGACCCAAACACGCCTCCATGCATGTGGATGACCCAAACACGCCTCCATGCATGGGGATGACCCAAACACGCCTCCATGCATGGGGATGACCCAAACACGCCTCCATGCATGGGGATGACCCAAACACGCCTCCATGCATGTGGATGACCCAAACACGCCTCCATGCATGGGGATGACCCAAACACGCCTCCATGCATGTGGATGACCCAAACACGCCTCCATGCATGTGGATGACCCAAACACGCCTCCATGCATGTGGATGACCCAAACACGCCTCCATGCATGTGGATGACCCAAACACGCCTCCATGCATGTGGATGACCCAAACACGCCTCCATGCATGTGGATGACCCAAACACGCCTCCATGCATGTGGATGACCCAAACACGCCTCCATGCATGTGGATGACCCAAACACGCCTCCATGCATGTGGATGACCCAAACACGCCTCCATGCATGTGGATGACCCAAACACGCCTCCATGCATGTGGATGACCCAAACACGCCTCCATGCATGTGGATGACCCAAACACGCCTCCATGCATGGGGATGACCCAAACACGCCTCCATGCATGTGGATGACCCAAACACGCCTCCATGCATGTGGATGACCCAAACACGCCTCCATGCATGTGGATGACCCAAACACGCCTCCATGCATGTGGATGACCCAAACACGCCTCCATGCATGTGGATGACCCAAACACGCCTCCATGCATGTGGATGACCCAAACACGCCTCCATGCATGTGGATGACCCAAACACGCCTCCATGCATGTGGATGACCCAAACACGCCTCCATGCATGTGGATGACCCAAACACGCCTCCATGCATGGGGATGACCCAAACACGCCTCCATGCATGTGGATGACCCAAACACGCCTCCATGCATGTGGATGACCCAAACACGCCTCCATGCATGGGGATGACCCAAACACGCCTCCATGCATGTGGATGACCCAAACACGCCTCCATGCATGGGGATGACCCAAACACGCCTCCATGCATGTGGATGACCCAAACACGCCTCCATGCATGTGGATGACCCAAACACGCCTCCATGCATGTGGATGACCCAAACACGCCTCCATGCATGTGGATGACCCAAACACGCCTCCATGCATGTGGATGACCCAAACACGCCTCCATGCATGTGGATGACCCAAACACGCCTCCATGCATGTGGATGACCCAAACACGCCTCCATGCATGGGGATGACCCAAACACGCCTCCATGCATGGGGATGACCCAAACACGCCTCCATGCATGGGGATGACCCAAACACGCCTCCATGCATGGGGATGACCCAAACACGCCTCCATGCATGTGGATGACCCAAACACGCCTCCATGCATGTGGATGACCCAAACACGCCTCCATGCATGTGGATGACCCAAACACGCCTCCATGCATGTGGATGACCCAAACACGCCTCCATGCATGTGGATGACCCAAACACGCCTCCATGCATGTGGATGACCCAAACACGCCTCCATGCATGGGGATGACCCAAACACGCCTCCATGCATGGGGATGACCCAAACACGCCTCCATGCATGTGGATGACCCAAACACGCCTCCATGCATGTGGATGACCCAAACACGCCTCCATGCATGTGGATGACCCAAACACGCCTCCATGCATGTGGATGACCCAAACACGCCTCCATGCATGTGGATGACCCAAACACGCCTCCATGCATGGGGATGACCCAAACACGCCTCCATGCATGTGGATGACCCAAACACGCCTCCATGCATGTGGATGACCCAAACACGCCTCCATGCATGGGGATGACCCAAACACGCCTCCATGCATGTGGATGACCCAAACACGCCTCCATGCATGGGGATGACCCAAACACGCCTCCATGCATGGGGATGACCCAAACACGCCTCCATGCATGGGGATGACCCAAACACGCCTCCATGCATGGGGATGACCCAAACACGCCTCCATGCATGTGGATGACCCAAACACGCCTCCATGCATGGGGATGACCCAAACACGCCTCCATGCATGGGGATGACCCAAACACGCCTCCATGCATGTGGATGACCCAAACACGCCTCCATGCATGGGGATGACCCAAACACGCCTCCATGCATGGGGATGACCCAAACACGCCTCCATGCATGTGGATGACCCAAACACGCCTCCATGCATGGGGATGACCCAAACACGCCTCCATGCATGGGGATGACCCAAACACGCCTCCATGCATGTGGATGACCCAAACACGCCTCCATGCATGTGGATGACCCAAACACGCCTCCATGCATGTGGATGACCCAAACACGCCTCCATGCATGTGGATGACCCAAACACGCCTCCATGCATGTGGATGACCCAAACACGCCTCCATGCATGGGGATGACCCAAACACGCCTCCATGCATGTGGATGACCCAAACACGCCTCCATGCATGTGGATGACCCAAACACGCCTCCATGCATGGGGATGACCCAAACACGCCTCCATGCATGTGGATGACCCAAACACGCCTCCATGCATGTGGATGACCCAAACACGCCTCCATGCATGTGGATGACCCAAACACGCCTCCATGCATGTGGATGACCCAAACACGCCTCCATGCATGTGGATGACCCAAACACGCCTCCATGCATGTGGATGACCCAAACACGCCTCCATGCATGTGGATGACCCAAACACGCCTCCATGCATGTGGATGACCCAAACACGCCTCCATGCATGTGGATGACCCAAACACGCCTCCATGCATGTGGATGACCCAAACACGCCTCCATGCATGTGGATGACCCAAACACGCCTCCATGCATGTGGATGACCCAAACACGCCTCCATGCATGGGGATGACCCAAACACGCCTCCATGCATGGGGATGACCCAAACACGCCTCCATGCATGTGGATGACCCAAACACGCCTCCATGCATGGGGATGACCCAAACACGCCTCCATGCATGTGGATGACCCAAACACGCCTCCATGCATGTGGATGACCCAAACACGCCTCCATGCATGGGGATGACCCAAACACGCCTCCATGCATGGGGATGACCCAAACACGCCTCCATGCATGTGGATGACCCAAACACGCCTCCATGCATGTGGATGACCCAAACACGCCTCCATGCATGTGGATGACCCAAACACGCCTCCATGCATGTGGATGACCCAAACACGCCTCCATGCATGGGGATGACCCAAACACGCCTCCATGCATGTGGATGACCCAAACACGCCTCCATGCATGTGGATGACCCAAACACGCCTCCATGCATGTGGATGACCCAAACACGCCTCCATGCATGGGGATGACCCAAACACGCCTCCATGCATGTGGATGACCCAAACACGCCTCCATGCATGTGGATGACCCAAACACGCCTCCATGCATGTGGATGACCCAAACACGCCTCCATGCATGGGGATGACCCAAACACGCCTCCATGCATGTGGATGACCCAAACACGCCTCCATGCATGGGGATGACCCAAACACGCCTCCATGCATGTGGATGACCCAAACACGCCTCCATGCATGGGGATGACCCAAACACGCCTCCATGCATGTGGATGACCCAAACACGCCTCCATGCATGGGGATGACCCAAACACGCCTCCATGCATGTGGATGACCCAAACACGCCTCCATGCATGGGGATGACCCAAACACGCCTCCATGCATGTGGATGACCCAAACACGCCTCCATGCATGTGGATGACCCAAACACGCCTCCATGCATGGGGATGACCCAAACACGCCTCCATGCATGGGGATGACCCAAACACGCCTCCATGCATGTGGATGACCCAAACACGCCTCCATGCATGGGGATGACCCAAACACGCCTCCATGCATGGGGATGACCCAAACACGCCTCCATGCATGGGGATGACCCAAACACGCCTCCATGCATGTGGATGACCCAAACACGCCTCCATGCATGTGGATGACCCAAACACGCCTCCATGCATGGGGATGACCCAAACACGCCTCCATGCATGTGGATGACCCAAACACGCCTCCATGCATGGGGATGACCCAAACACGCCTCCATGCATGTGGATGACCCAAACACGCCTCCATGCATGTGGATGACCCAAACACGCCTCCATGCATGGGGATGACCCAAACACGCCTCCATGCATGTGGATGACCCAAACACGCCTCCATGCATGTGGATGACCCAAACACGCCTCCATGCATGTGGATGACCCAAACACGCCTCCATGCATGTGGATGACCCAAACACGCCTCCATGCATGTGGATGACCCAAACACGCCTCCATGCATGTGGATGACCCAAACACGCCTCCATGCATGTGGATGACCCAAACACGCCTCCATGCATGTGGATGACCCAAACACGCCTCCATGCATGTGGATGACCCAAACACGCCTCCATGCATGGGGATGACCCAAACACGCCTCCATGCATGGGGATGACCCAAACACGCCTCCATGCATGTGGATGACCCAAACACGCCTCCATGCATGGGGATGACCCAAACACGCCTCCATGCATGTGGATGACCCAAACACGCCTCCATGCATGGGGATGACCCAAACACGCCTCCATGCATGTGGATGACCCAAACACGCCTCCATGCATGTGGATGACCCAAACACGCCTCCATGCATGGGGATGACCCAAACACGCCTCCATGCATGTGGATGACCCAAACACGCCTCCATGCATGGGGATGACCCAAACACGCCTCCATGCATGTGGATGACCCAAACACGCCTCCATGCATGTGGATGACCCAAACACGCCTCCATGCATGTGGATGACCCAAACACGCCTCCATGCATGTGGATGACCCAAACACGCCTCCATGCATGGGGATGACCCAAACACGCCTCCATGCATGTGGATGACCCAAACACGCCTCCATGCATGTGGATGACCCAAACACGCCTCCATGCATGGGGATGACCCAAACACGCCTCCATGCATGTGGATGACCCAAACACGCCTCCATGCATGTGGATGACCCAAACACGCCTCCATGCATGTGGATGACCCAAACACGCCTCCATGCATGTGGATGACCCAAACACGCCTCCATGCATGTGGATGACCCAAACACGCCTCCATGCATGGGGATGACCCAAACACGCCTCCATGCATGTGGATGACCCAAACACGCCTCCATGCATGGGGATGACCCAAACACGCCTCCATGCATGTGGATGACCCAAACACGCCTCCATGCATGGGGATGACCCAAACACGCCTCCATGCATGGGGATGACCCAAACACGCCTCCATGCATGTGGATGACCCAAACACGCCTCCATGCATGTGGATGACCCAAACACGCCTCCATGCATGTGGATGACCCAAACACGCCTCCATGCATGTGGATGACCCAAACACGCCTCCATGCATGTGGATGACCCAAACACGCCTCCATGCATGTGGATGACCCAAACACGCCTCCATGCATGTGGATGACCCAAACACGCCTCCATGCATGTGGATGACCCAAACACGCCTCCATGCATGGGGATGACCCAAACACGCCTCCATGCATGGGGATGACCCAAACACGCCTCCATGCATGTGGATGACCCAAACACGCCTCCATGCATGTGGATGACCCAAACACGCCTCCATGCATGTGGATGACCCAAACACGCCTCCATGCATGGGGATGACCCAAACACGCCTCCATGCATGTGGATGACCCAAACACGCCTCCATGCATGTGGATGACCCAAACACGCCTCCATGCATGTGGATGACCCAAACACGCCTCCATGCATGGGGATGACCCAAACACGCCTCCATGCATGGGGATGACCCAAACACGCCTCCATGCATGTGGATGACCCAAACACGCCTCCATGCATGTGGATGACCCAAACACGCCTCCATGCATGTGGATGACCCAAACACGCCTCCATGCATGTGGATGACCCAAACACGCCTCCATGCATGTGGATGACCCAAACACGCCTCCATGCATGTGGATGACCCAAACACGCCTCCATGCATGTGGATGACCCAAACACGCCTCCATGCATGTGGATGACCCAAACACGCCTCCATGCATGTGGATGACCCAAACACGCCTCCATGCATGTGGATGACCCAAACACGCCTCCATGCATGGGGATGACCCAAACACGCCTCCATGCATGTGGATGACCCAAACACGCCTCCATGCATGTGGATGACCCAAACACGCCTCCATGCATGTGGATGACCCAAACACGCCTCCATGCATGTGGATGACCCAAACACGCCTCCATGCATGGGGATGACCCAAACACGCCTCCATGCATGTGGATGACCCAAACACGCCTCCATGCATGTGGATGACCCAAACACGCCTCCATGCATGGGGATGACCCAAACACGCCTCCATGCATGTGGATGACCCAAACACGCCTCCATGCATGTGGATGACCCAAACACGCCTCCATGCATGGGGATGACCCAAACACGCCTCCATGCATGTGGATGACCCAAACACGCCTCCATGCATGTGGATGACCCAAACACGCCTCCATGCATGGGGATGACCCAAACACGCCTCCATGCATGTGGATGACCCAAACACGCCTCCATGCATGTGGATGACCCAAACACGCCTCCATGCATGTGGATGACCCAAACACGCCTCCATGCATGTGGATGACCCAAACACGCCTCCATGCATGTGGATGACCCAAACACGCCTCCATGCATGTGGATGACCCAAACACGCCTCCATGCATGGGGATGACCCAAACACGCCTCCATGCATGTGGATGACCCAAACACGCCTCCATGCATGTGGATGACCCAAACACGCCTCCATGCATGTGGATGACCCAAACACGCCTCCATGCATGGGGATGACCCAAACACGCCTCCATGCATGTGGATGACCCAAACACGCCTCCATGCATGTGGATGACCCAAACACGCCTCCATGCATGTGGATGACCCAAACACGCCTCCATGCATGTGGATGACCCAAACACGCCTCCATGCATGTGGATGACCCAAACACGCCTCCATGCATGTGGATGACCCAAACACGCCTCCATGCATGTGGATGACCCAAACACGCCTCCATGCATGTGGATGACCCAAACACGCCTCCATGCATGTGGATGACCCAAACACGCCTCCATGCATGGGGATGACCCAAACACGCCTCCATGCATGGGGATGACCCAAACACGCCTCCATGCATGTGGATGACCCAAACACGCCTCCATGCATGTGGATGACCCAAACACGCCTCCATGCATGTGGATGACCCAAACACGCCTCCATGCATGTGGATGACCCAAACACGCCTCCATGCATGTGGATGACCCAAACACGCCTCCATGCATGTGGATGACCCAAACACGCCTCCATGCATGGGGATGACCCAAACACGCCTCCATGCATGTGGATGACCCAAACACGCCTCCATGCATGTGGATGACCCAAACACGCCTCCATGCATGGGGATGACCCAAACACGCCTCCATGCATGGGGATGACCCAAACACGCCTCCATGCATGGGGATGACCCAAACACGCCTCCATGCATGGGGATGACCCAAACACGCCTCCATGCATGTGGATGACCCAAACACGCCTCCATGCATGGGGATGACCCAAACACGCCTCCATGCATGTGGATGACCCAAACACGCCTCCATGCATGTGGATGACCCAAACACGCCTCCATGCATGTGGATGACCCAAACACGCCTCCATGCATGTGGATGACCCAAACACGCCTCCATGCATGTGGATGACCCAAACACGCCTCCATGCATGTGGATGACCCAAACACGCCTCCATGCATGTGGATGACCCAAACACGCCTCCATGCATGTGGATGACCCAAACACGCCTCCATGCATGTGGATGACCCAAACACGCCTCCATGCATGTGGATGACCCAAACACGCCTCCATGCATGGGGATGACCCAAACACGCCTCCATGCATGTGGATGACCCAAACACGCCTCCATGCATGTGGATGACCCAAACACGCCTCCATGCATGTGGATGACCCAAACACGCCTCCATGCATGTGGATGACCCAAACACGCCTCCATGCATGTGGATGACCCAAACACGCCTCCATGCATGTGGATGACCCAAACACGCCTCCATGCATGTGGATGACCCAAACACGCCTCCATGCATGTGGATGACCCAAACACGCCTCCATGCATGGGGATGACCCAAACACGCCTCCATGCATGTGGATGACCCAAACACGCCTCCATGCATGTGGATGACCCAAACACGCCTCCATGCATGGGGATGACCCAAACACGCCTCCATGCATGTGGATGACCCAAACACGCCTCCATGCATGTGGATGACCCAAACACGCCTCCATGCATGTGGATGACCCAAACACGCCTCCATGCATGTGGATGACCCAAACACGCCTCCATGCATGTGGATGACCCAAACACGCCTCCATGCATGGGGATGACCCAAACACGCCTCCATGCATGTGGATGACCCAAACACGCCTCCATGCATGGGGATGACCCAAACACGCCTCCATGCATGTGGATGACCCAAACACGCCTCCATGCATGTGGATGACCCAAACACGCCTCCATGCATGTGGATGACCCAAACACGCCTCCATGCATGTGGATGACCCAAACACGCCTCCATGCATGGGGATGACCCAAACACGCCTCCATGCATGTGGATGACCCAAACACGCCTCCATGCATGGGGATGACCCAAACACGCCTCCATGCATGTGGATGACCCAAACACGCCTCCATGCATGGGGATGACCCAAACACGCCTCCATGCATGTGGATGACCCAAACACGCCTCCATGCATGTGGATGACCCAAACACGCCTCCATGCATGTGGATGACCCAAACACGCCTCCATGCATGTGGATGACCCAAACACGCCTCCATGCATGTGGATGACCCAAACACGCCTCCATGCATGTGGATGACCCAAACACGCCTCCATGCATGTGGATGACCCAAACACGCCTCCATGCATGTGGATGACCCAAACACGCCTCCATGCATGTGGATGACCCAAACACGCCTCCATGCATGGGGATGACCCAAACACGCCTCCATGCATGTGGATGACCCAAACACGCCTCCATGCATGTGGATGACCCAAACACGCCTCCATGCATGTGGATGACCCAAACACGCCTCCATGCATGTGGATGACCCAAACACGCCTCCATGCATGTGGATGACCCAAACACGCCTCCATGCATGTGGATGACCCAAACACGCCTCCATGCATGTGGATGACCCAAACACGCCTCCATGCATGGGGATGACCCAAACACGCCTCCATGCATGTGGATGACCCAAACACGCCTCCATGCATGTGGATGACCCAAACACGCCTCCATGCATGTGGATGACCCAAACACGCCTCCATGCATGGGGATGACCCAAACACGCCTCCATGCATGGGGATGACCCAAACACGCCTCCATGCATGGGGATGACCCAAACACGCCTCCATGCATGGGGATGACCCAAACACGCCTCCATGCATGGGGATGACCCAAACACGCCTCCATGCATGTGGATGACCCAAACACGCCTCCATGCATGTGGATGACCCAAACACGCCTCCATGCATGTGGATGACCCAAACACGCCTCCATGCATGTGGATGACCCAAACACGCCTCCATGCATGTGGATGACCCAAACACGCCTCCATGCATGTGGATGACCCAAACACGCCTCCATGCATGTGGATGACCCAAACACGCCTCCATGCATGTGGATGACCCAAACACGCCTCCATGCATGTGGATGACCCAAACACGCCTCCATGCATGTGGATGACCCAAACACGCCTCCATGCATGGGGATGACCCAAACACGCCTCCATGCATGTGGATGACCCAAACACGCCTCCATGCATGTGGATGACCCAAACACGCCTCCATGCATGTGGATGACCCAAACACGCCTCCATGCATGTGGATGACCCAAACACGCCTCCATGCATGGGGATGACCCAAACACGCCTCCATGCATGTGGATGACCCAAACACGCCTCCATGCATGTGGATGACCCAAACACGCCTCCATGCATGGGGATGACCCAAACACGCCTCCATGCATGGGGATGACCCAAACACGCCTCCATGCATGTGGATGACCCAAACACGCCTCCATGCATGGGGATGACCCAAACACGCCTCCATGCATGTGGATGACCCAAACACGCCTCCATGCATGGGGATGACCCAAACACGCCTCCATGCATGTGGATGACCCAAACACGCCTCCATGCATGTGGATGACCCAAACACGCCTCCATGCATGTGGATGACCCAAACACGCCTCCATGCATGTGGATGACCCAAACACGCCTCCATGCATGTGGATGACCCAAACACGCCTCCATGCATGTGGATGACCCAAACACGCCTCCATGCATGTGGATGACCCAAACACGCCTCCATGCATGTGGATGACCCAAACACGCCTCCATGCATGTGGATGACCCAAACACGCCTCCATGCATGGGGATGACCCAAACACGCCTCCATGCATGTGGATGACCCAAACACGCCTCCATGCATGGGGATGACCCAAACACGCCTCCATGCATGTGGATGACCCAAACACGCCTCCATGCATGTGGATGACCCAAACACGCCTCCATGCATGTGGATGACCCAAACACGCCTCCATGCATGTGGATGACCCAAACACGCCTCCATGCATGTGGATGACCCAAACACGCCTCCATGCATGTGGATGACCCAAACACGCCTCCATGCATGTGGATGACCCAAACACGCCTCCATGCATGTGGATGACCCAAACACGCCTCCATGCATGTGGATGACCCAAACACGCCTCCATGCATGTGGATGACCCAAACACGCCTCCATGCATGTGGATGACCCAAACACGCCTCCATGCATGTGGATGACCCAAACACGCCTCCATGCATGTGGATGACCCAAACACGCCTCCATGCATGGGGATGACCCAAACACGCCTCCATGCATGTGGATGACCCAAACACGCCTCCATGCATGTGGATGACCCAAACACGCCTCCATGCATGTGGATGACCCAAACACGCCTCCATGCATGTGGATGACCCAAACACGCCTCCATGCATGGGGATGACCCAAACACGCCTCCATGCATGTGGATGACCCAAACACGCCTCCATGCATGTGGATGACCCAAACACGCCTCCATGCATGTGGATGACCCAAACACGCCTCCATGCATGTGGATGACCCAAACACGCCTCCATGCATGTGGATGACCCAAACACGCCTCCATGCATGTGGATGACCCAAACACGCCTCCATGCATGTGGATGACCCAAACACGCCTCCATGCATGTGGATGACCCAAACACGCCTCCATGCATGTGGATGACCCAAACACGCCTCCATGCATGTGGATGACCCAAACACGCCTCCATGCATGTGGATGACCCAAACACGCCTCCATGCATGTGGATGACCCAAACACGCCTCCATGCATGTGGATGACCCAAACACGCCTCCATGCATGTGGATGACCCAAACACGCCTCCATGCATGTGGATGACCCAAACACGCCTCCATGCATGGGGATGACCCAAACACGCCTCCATGCATGGGGATGACCCAAACACGCCTCCATGCATGTGGATGACCCAAACACGCCTCCATGCATGTGGATGACCCAAACACGCCTCCATGCATGTGGATGACCCAAACACGCCTCCATGCATGGGGATGACCCAAACACGCCTCCATGCATGTGGATGACCCAAACACGCCTCCATGCATGTGGATGACCCAAACACGCCTCCATGCATGTGGATGACCCAAACACGCCTCCATGCATGTGGATGACCCAAACACGCCTCCATGCATGTGGATGACCCAAACACGCCTCCATGCATGTGGATGACCCAAACACGCCTCCATGCATGTGGATGACCCAAACACGCCTCCATGCATGTGGATGACCCAAACACGCCTCCATGCATGGGGATGACCCAAACACGCCTCCATGCATGTGGATGACCCAAACACGCCTCCATGCATGTGGATGACCCAAACACGCCTCCATGCATGTGGATGACCCAAACACGCCTCCATGCATGTGGATGACCCAAACACGCCTCCATGCATGTGGATGACCCAAACACGCCTCCATGCATGTGGATGACCCAAACACGCCTCCATGCATGTGGATGACCCAAACACGCCTCCATGCATGTGGATGACCCAAACACGCCTCCATGCATGTGGATGACCCAAACACGCCTCCATGCATGTGGATGACCCAAACACGCCTCCATGCATGGGGATGACCCAAACACGCCTCCATGCATGGGGATGACCCAAACACGCCTCCATGCATGGGGATGACCCAAACACGCCTCCATGCATGTGGATGACCCAAACACGCCTCCATGCATGTGGATGACCCAAACACGCCTCCATGCATGGGGATGACCCAAACACGCCTCCATGCATGTGGATGACCCAAACACGCCTCCATGCATGTGGATGACCCAAACACGCCTCCATGCATGTGGATGACCCAAACACGCCTCCATGCATGGGGATGACCCAAACACGCCTCCATGCATGGGGATGACCCAAACACGCCTCCATGCATGGGGATGACCCAAACACGCCTCCATGCATGTGGATGACCCAAACACGCCTCCATGCATGTGGATGACCCAAACACGCCTCCATGCATGGGGATGACCCAAACACGCCTCCATGCATGTGGATGACCCAAACACGCCTCCATGCATGTGGATGACCCAAACACGCCTCCATGCATGTGGATGACCCAAACACGCCTCCATGCATGTGGATGACCCAAACACGCCTCCATGCATGTGGATGACCCAAACACGCCTCCATGCATGTGGATGACCCAAACACGCCTCCATGCATGTGGATGACCCAAACACGCCTCCATGCATGTGGATGACCCAAACACGCCTCCATGCATGTGGATGACCCAAACACGCCTCCATGCATGTGGATGACCCAAACACGCCTCCATGCATGGGGATGACCCAAACACGCCTCCATGCATGTGGATGACCCAAACACGCCTCCATGCATGTGGATGACCCAAACACGCCTCCATGCATGTGGATGACCCAAACACGCCTCCATGCATGTGGATGACCCAAACACGCCTCCATGCATGGGGATGACCCAAACACGCCTCCATGCATGTGGATGACCCAAACACGCCTCCATGCATGTGGATGACCCAAACACGCCTCCATGCATGGGGATGACCCAAACACGCCTCCATGCATGGGGATGACCCAAACACGCCTCCATGCATGTGGATGACCCAAACACGCCTCCATGCATGGGGATGACCCAAACACGCCTCCATGCATGTGGATGACCCAAACACGCCTCCATGCATGTGGATGACCCAAACACGCCTCCATGCATGTGGATGACCCAAACACGCCTCCATGCATGTGGATGACCCAAACACGCCTCCATGCATGGGGATGACCCAAACACGCCTCCATGCATGTGGATGACCCAAACACGCCTCCATGCATGTGGATGACCCAAACACGCCTCCATGCATGTGGATGACCCAAACACGCCTCCATGCATGGGGATGACCCAAACACGCCTCCATGCATGGGGATGACCCAAACACGCCTCCATGCATGTGGATGACCCAAACACGCCTCCATGCATGTGGATGACCCAAACACGCCTCCATGCATGGGGATGACCCAAACACGCCTCCATGCATGGGGATGACCCAAACACGCCTCCATGCATGGGGATGACCCAAACACGCCTCCATGCATGGGGATGACCCAAACACGCCTCCATGCATGGGGATGACCCAAACACGCCTCCATGCATGTGGATGACCCAAACACGCCTCCATGCATGTGGATGACCCAAACACGCCTCCATGCATGTGGATGACCCAAACACGCCTCCATGCATGTGGATGACCCAAACACGCCTCCATGCATGTGGATGACCCAAACACGCCTCCATGCATGTGGATGACCCAAACACGCCTCCATGCATGTGGATGACCCAAACACGCCTCCATGCATGTGGATGACCCAAACACGCCTCCATGCATGTGGATGACCCAAACACGCCTCCATGCATGTGGATGACCCAAACACGCCTCCATGCATGTGGATGACCCAAACACGCCTCCATGCATGTGGATGACCCAAACACGCCTCCATGCATGTGGATGACCCAAACACGCCTCCATGCATGTGGATGACCCAAACACGCCTCCATGCATGTGGATGACCCAAACACGCCTCCATGCATGTGGATGACCCAAACACGCCTCCATGCATGGGGATGACCCAAACACGCCTCCATGCATGTGGATGACCCAAACACGCCTCCATGCATGGGGATGACCCAAACACGCCTCCATGCATGGGGATGACCCAAACACGCCTCCATGCATGGGGATGACCCAAACACGCCTCCATGCATGTGGATGACCCAAACACGCCTCCATGCATGTGGATGACCCAAACACGCCTCCATGCATGTGGATGACCCAAACACGCCTCCATGCATGTGGATGACCCAAACACGCCTCCATGCATGTGGATGACCCAAACACGCCTCCATGCATGTGGATGACCCAAACACGCCTCCATGCATGGGGATGACCCAAACACGCCTCCATGCATGTGGATGACCCAAACACGCCTCCATGCATGTGGATGACCCAAACACGCCTCCATGCATGTGGATGACCCAAACACGCCTCCATGCATGTGGATGACCCAAACACGCCTCCATGCATGTGGATGACCCAAACACGCCTCCATGCATGTGGATGACCCAAACACGCCTCCATGCATGTGGATGACCCAAACACGCCTCCATGCATGTGGATGACCCAAACACGCCTCCATGCATGTGGATGACCCAAACACGCCTCCATGCATGGGGATGACCCAAACACGCCTCCATGCATGGGGATGACCCAAACACGCCTCCATGCATGGGGATGACCCAAACACGCCTCCATGCATGGGGATGACCCAAACACGCCTCCATGCATGGGGATGACCCAAACACGCCTCCATGCATGGGGATGACCCAAACACGCCTCCATGCATGGGGATGACCCAAACACGCCTCCATGCATGGGGATGACCCAAACACGCCTCCATGCATGGGGATGACCCAAACACGCCTCCATGCATGTGGATGACCCAAACACGCCTCCATGCATGTGGATGACCCAAACACGCCTCCATGCATGTGGATGACCCAAACACGCCTCCATGCATGTGGATGACCCAAACACGCCTCCATGCATGGGGATGACCCAAACACGCCTCCATGCATGGGGATGACCCAAACACGCCTCCATGCATGGGGATGACCCAAACACGCCTCCATGCATGGGGATGACCCAAACACGCCTCCATGCATGGGGATGACCCAAACACGCCTCCATGCATGGGGATGACCCAAACACGCCTCCATGCATGGGGATGACCCAAACACGCCTCCATGCATGGGGATGACCCAAACACGCCTCCATGCATGGGGATGACCCAAACACGCCTCCATGCATGGGGATGACCCAAACACGCCTCCATGCATGGGGATGACCCAAACACGCCTCCATGCATGGGGATGACCCAAACACGCCTCCATGCATGGGGATGACCCAAACACGCCTCCATGCATGTGGATGACCCAAACACGCCTCCATGCATGTGGATGACCCAAACACGCCTCCATGCATGTGGATGACCCAAACACGCCTCCATGCATGGGGATGACCCAAACACGCCTCCATGCATGGGGATGACCCAAACACGCCTCCATGCATGGGGATGACCCAAACACGCCTCCATGCATGGGGATGACCCAAACACGCCTCCATGCATGGGGATGACCCAAACACGCCTCCATGCATGGGGATGACCCAAACACGCCTCCATGCATGGGGATGACCCAAACACGCCTCCATGCATGGGGATGACCCAAACACGCCTCCATGCATGGGGATGACCCAAACACGCCTCCATGCATGTGGATGACCCAAACACGCCTCCATGCATGGGGATGACCCAAACACGCCTCCATGCATGGGGATGACCCAAACACGCCTCCATGCATGGGGATGACCCAAACACGCCTCCATGCATGTGGATGACCCAAACACGCCTCCATGCATGTGGATGACCCAAACACGCCTCCATGCATGTGGATGACCCAAACACGCCTCCATGCATGGGGATGACCCAAACACGCCTCCATGCATGTGGATGACCCAAACACGCCTCCATGCATGGGGATGACCCAAACACGCCTCCATGCATGGGGATGACCCAAACACGCCTCCATGCATGGGGATGACCCAAACACGCCTCCATGCATGGGGATGACCCAAACACGCCTCCATGCATGGGGATGACCCAAACACGCCTCCATGCATGGGGATGACCCAAACACGCCTCCATGCATGGGGATGACCCAAACACGCCTCCATGCATGGGGATGACCCAAACACGCCTCCATGCATGGGGATGACCCAAACACGCCTCCATGCATGTGGATGACCCAAACACGCCTCCATGCATGTGGATGACCCAAACACGCCTCCATGCATGTGGATGACCCAAACACGCCTCCATGCATGGGGATGACCCAAACACGCCTCCATGCATGGGGATGACCCAAACACGCCTCCATGCATGTGGATGACCCAAACACGCCTCCATGCATGTGGATGACCCAAACACGCCTCCATGCATGGGGATGACCCAAACACGCCTCCATGCATGTGGATGACCCAAACACGCCTCCATGCATGGGGATGACCCAAACACGCCTCCATGCATGTGGATGACCCAAACACGCCTCCATGCATGTGGATGACCCAAACACGCCTCCATGCATGGGGATGACCCAAACACGCCTCCATGCATGTGGATGACCCAAACACGCCTCCATGCATGGGGATGACCCAAACACGCCTCCATGCATGGGGATGACCCAAACACGCCTCCATGCATGGGGATGACCCAAACACGCCTCCATGCATGGGGATGACCCAAACACGCCTCCATGCATGGGGATGACCCAAACACGCCTCCATGCATGTGGATGACCCAAACACGCCTCCATGCATGGGGATGACCCAAACACGCCTCCATGCATGGGGATGACCCAAACACGCCTCCATGCATGTGGATGACCCAAACACGCCTCCATGCATGTGGATGACCCAAACACGCCTCCATGCATGTGGATGACCCAAACACGCCTCCATGCATGGGGATGACCCAAACACGCCTCCATGCATGGGGATGACCCAAACACGCCTCCATGCATGGGGATGACCCAAACACGCCTCCATGCATGGGGATGACCCAAACACGCCTCCATGCATGGGGATGACCCAAACACGCCTCCATGCATGGGGATGACCCAAACACGCCTCCATGCATGTGGATGACCCAAACACGCCTCCATGCATGTGGATGACCCAAACACGCCTCCATGCATGTGGATGACCCAAACACGCCTCCATGCATGGGGATGACCCAAACACGCCTCCATGCATGGGGATGACCCAAACACGCCTCCATGCATGTGGATGACCCAAACACGCCTCCATGCATGTGGATGACCCAAACACGCCTCCATGCATGTGGATGACCCAAACACGCCTCCATGCATGTGGATGACCCAAACACGCCTCCATGCATGTGGATGACCCAAACACGCCTCCATGCATGTGGATGACCCAAACACGCCTCCATGCATGTGGATGACCCAAACACGCCTCCATGCATGTGGATGACCCAAACACGCCTCCATGCATGGGGATGACCCAAACACGCCTCCATGCATGGGGATGACCCAAACACGCCTCCATGCATGGGGATGACCCAAACACGCCTCCATGCATGGGGATGACCCAAACACGCCTCCATGCATGGGGATGACCCAAACACGCCTCCATGCATGGGGATGACCCAAACACGCCTCCATGCATGGGGATGACCCAAACACGCCTCCATGCATGGGGATGACCCAAACACGCCTCCATGCATGGGGATGACCCAAACACGCCTCCATGCATGTGGATGACCCAAACACGCCTCCATGCATGGGGATGACCCAAACACGCCTCCATGCATGGGGATGACCCAAACACGCCTCCATGCATGGGGATGACCCAAACACGCCTCCATGCATGGGGATGACCCAAACACGCCTCCATGCATGGGGATGACCCAAACACGCCTCCATGCATGGGGATGACCCAAACACGCCTCCATGCATGGGGATGACCCAAACACGCCTCCATGCATGGGGATGACCCAAACACGCCTCCATGCATGGGGATGACCCAAACACGCCTCCATGCATGGGGATGACCCAAACACGCCTCCATGCATGGGGATGACCCAAACACGCCTCCATGCATGGGGATGACCCAAACACGCCTCCATGCATGGGGATGACCCAAACACGCCTCCATGCATGGGGATGACCCAAACACGCCTCCATGCATGGGGATGACCCAAACACGCCTCCATGCATGGGGATGACCCAAACACGCCTCCATGCATGGGGATGACCCAAACACGCCTCCATGCATGGGGATGACCCAAACACGCCTCCATGCATGGGGATGACCCAAACACGCCTCCATGCATGGGGATGACCCAAACACGCCTCCATGCATGGGGATGACCCAAACACGCCTCCATGCATGGGGATGACCCAAACACGCCTCCATGCATGTGGATGACCCAAACACGCCTCCATGCATGTGGATGACCCAAACACGCCTCCATGCATGGGGATGACCCAAACACGCCTCCATGCATGGGGATGACCCAAACACGCCTCCATGCATGGGGATGACCCAAACACGCCTCCATGCATGTGGATGACCCAAACACGCCTCCATGCATGGGGATGACCCAAACACGCCTCCATGCATGTGGATGACCCAAACACGCCTCCATGCATGTGGATGACCCAAACACGCCTCCATGCATGTGGATGACCCAAACACGCCTCCATGCATGTGGATGACCCAAACACGCCTCCATGCATGGGGATGACCCAAACACGCCTCCATGCATGGGGATGACCCAAACACGCCTCCATGCATGGGGATGACCCAAACACGCCTCCATGCATGGGGATGACCCAAACACGCCTCCATGCATGTGCCCAAACACGCCTCCATGCATGTGGATGACCCAAACACGCCTCCATGCATGTGGATGACCCAAACACGCCTCCATGCATGGGGATGACCCTGAGAGTGAGAGCACACACCGCCGTAGAAACGTCCACTACATTGAACCCCCCAAATGGCTGATGCCATGCTCCCACCATGACATCCACCCACGCAACATGCCACCATCATCGAGCGTATCCATCACATAATGGTCACCCGCTCCCCACCCACCCATATCACAACCCAGTCAACCCCCCCATCAACCCCCCATCAACCCCCAGCGCCACCAGCACGTACACATGAGGTTGACGACGCGGAAGGGCGCGAGGGTGAGCTTGACTTTGGGCATGGACACGAAGGCCCACGTGAGCGCGCCCACCCACGGCTCCACGGGGATCAGCTTCAGCCGCACCCACACCTCCGCGTCCACGTCAAAGTTGCGCACGCCCACCGGGATGGGCACGGTGAGCGGGATGGCCGACAGCCCCATGCTCATGTCCACTGGCACCTCCAGCAGCATGCGCATGCCCCCCGTGTACCGCACCCCCACGTGGTACCTGAGGTTGAGGGGCGGGGATGGGGATGGGGATGGGGGTGGGGATGGGGATGGGGATGGGGATGGGGATGGGGATGGGGATGGGGATGGGGATGGGGATGGGGATGGGGATGGGGATGGGGATGGGGATGGGGATGGGGATGGGGATGGGGATGGGGATGGGGATGGGGATGGGGATGGGGATGGGGGTGGGGGTGGGGATGGGGATGGGGATGGGGGTGGGCATAGGGGTGGGTTGGAGGTATGGGGGCCTGGGCCCAGAAAGAACAGCCTCATTTCATCCTGGTACCACACAGCACCACCTACTACCACAGCACTCCGCACTGCACCACTACTCTACCCCGCACAGCACCGCACTCACTGCAGGTCATTGCCGCGTCGGGACGTGCGGCGCTCAATGGAGCGCAGCGAGGGCGGCTCGTCGCCCAGGAAGAACTGCTTGATGCGCACCATAAACCTTGAAACCACTGACTAGCACTCTGAACCACTGCTGTACCGCACAGCACCGCACTCACTGCAGGTCGTTGCCGCGTCTTGACGTGCGCCTCTCAATGGACCTGAGCGAGGGCGGCTCGTCCCCCAGGAAGAACTGCTTGATGCGCACGCGCTGCACGCCGCGCGGCTTGGGCGTCTCGTCAATGAGCGGCTGCAGGATGCCCACCATCCACCGCTCCAACCCCGTGCGGTATATGCGGAACACCTGGTGGGGGTGAGGGACGAAGGAAGGGGCGCCAAGGAGTGGGGGAGAGGCGTGTGTTTGTGTTTGTGTTTGTGGGGCCGGGCACACTCTGAGCGCCTTGACCTGGCAGGCAGGCACGTGGTGGCCGTGCCGTGGCAGCATGCCCACCATCCCCCGCACCACGCCCATGCCGTGGATGCGCAACAGGTGCGTGCAGGGCGAAAGGGGGATAGGGGGGATAAGGCGTGTGGGAGGTATATTTTGAGAGCATCGACTTGACAGGCACGTGCGTGCAGGGCTCTCCCCATCCACCGCTGCAGCCCTGTGCGGTTCATGCACACCGCCTGGGTGGGGGTGGAGTGGGGTGGGGTGGGTGGGGAGTCAGCATGTGTGTGTGTGGGTTTTTAGGGCGCGTGCATGGCATTTCATGGACTCCAACCTTTGCTTGCACCCAGCACTTGACCCTACACATCCACCCTTGACCTGCATTGACCTGCCTCGACCAGAATTGACCAATGTTGACCCCTTGACCAGCATCAACTGACAATGACAAGTGTTGACTCGCGTTGACCGGCGTTGACTTGCGTGGACTGACCTTGCGGAGCAGCATGTTGACCCACTCCATGGGCTCCTTGCGTCGCACGTCCACCTGCTGCCGCGTGGACGCCACTGGCACCGGGGGCGGCAGGGGCGACGGCGCCTCCACTCGGATGCGCTCCGGGATGTCAAAGTGCATTGAGCCCCTGCCACGCATGGCGGGGAGGGAGGGCGGGAAGAAGGACGAGCGGGCACGTGAGCAGGCATGGCGGCAGAGAGGGCGCAGCCCAGTGCATGTGTCATGCTCCATCACCGTCCCAGTGCATGTGTCATGCTCCATCACCATCCCAGTGCATGTGTCATGCTCCATCACCATCCCAGTGCATGTGTCATGCTCCATCACCATCCCAGTGCATGTGTCATGCTCCATCACCATCCCAGTGCATGTGTCATGCTCCATCACCATCCCAGTGCATGTGTCATGCTCCATCACCATCCCAGTGCATGTGTCATGCTCCATCACCATCCCAGTGCATGTGTCATGCTCCATCACCATCCCAGTGCATGTGTCATGCTCCATCACCATCCCAGTGCATGTGTCATGCTCCATCACCATCCCAGTGCATGTGTCATGCTCCATCACCATCCCAGTGCATGTGTCATGCTCCATCACCATCCCAGTGCATGTGTCATGCTCCATCACCATCCCAGTGCATGTGTCATGCTCCATCACCATCCCAGTGCATGTGTCATGCTCCATCACCATCCCAGTGCATGTGTCATGCTCCATCACCATCCCAGTGCATGTGTCATGCTCCATCACCATCCCAGTGCATGTGTCATGCTCCATCACCATCCCAGTGCATGTGTCATGCTCCATCGACATCCCTGACACCCAAATGCTCAACCGTCACCTCACTTCCTCACTCACACCCCTCACATGCGTGTCCCCCCCCTCGCCTCACCGTGAGTCCTGCTGGAACTGGTACCACCACTGCTCACCGTGAGTCCTGCTGGAACTGGTACCACCACTGCTCACCGTGAGTCCTGCTGGAACTGGTACCACCACTGCTCACCGTGAGTCCTGCTGGAACTGGTACCACCACTGCTCACCGTGAGTCCTGCTGGAACTGGTACCACCACTGCTCACCGTGAGTCCTGCTGGAACTGGTACCACCACTGCTCACCGTGAGTCCTGCTGGAACTGGTACCACCACTGCTCACCGTGAGTCCTGCTGGAACTGGTACCACCACTGCTCACCGTGAGTCCTGCTGGAACTGGTACCACCACTGCTCACCGTGAGTCCTGCTGGAACTGGTACCACCACTGCTCACCGTGAGTCCTGCTGGAACTGGTACCACCACTGCTCACCGTGAGTCCTGCTGGAACTGGTACCACCACTGCTCACCGTGAGTCCTGCTGGAACTGGTACCACCACTGCTCCACGGCCTTGATGAACAGCACCACCACCACAGCCGCTCCCGCCAGCTGCCCCCGCGTCACGGGGATGCGGTCCAGCACGGGTGCCACCACGCTCACCACCGCCTGCACGCCCGACCCTGCTGTGCGCAGAGCGCCCTGCGCGGGGGGCGGGAGGCTCCTCTCGACGTCCTCCGCCGTGTGCTGCACCACCTTGGCGATCTCCTGCTGCTTCTCCTGTATAGTCACGCCCACCTCAGTCACCACCTGCCCCACCTCCGACACCACGTCCTGCAGCGTGCTGCTCACCTCCACCGCCCTGTCCTGGATGCTCGTACCGACCTCCACCGCTCTCTCCTGCAGCTCCACCGCTTTGCCCTGAATCCTGCTGCCTACCACCACCGCGGTGTCCTGAATCGTGCTGCCAACTGCAACCGCCTTGCCTTGAATCGCCCCACCCACCACTACTGCTGTGTCTTGAATTGTGCTGCTCACTGCTACTGCCTTATCTTGGATCACACCCCCCACCACCACTGCCGTGTCCTGTATCGTGCTGCCCACCGCAACCGCCTTGCCTTGAATCGCACCGCCCACCTCCACAGCTCGGCCCTGGATAGCGCCGCCAACCACGGCGGCCGTGTCCTGCAGGGAGCTGCCCACGCCGTACGCGCGGCCCTGTATCCGACTCCCCGCCTCCATCGCTCCATCCTGCAGCCTGCTGCGCACTGCTGTCGCGCGCCCCTGAATGCCCGAGCCTAGCCCCTGAATGCCCGAGCCTAGCCCCTGAATGCCCGAGCCTAGCCCCTGGATACCCGAGCCTAGCCCTAGCCCCTGGAAGCCCGAGGCTCGGTTGAGGCTCGGCATCCGAGTGAGCGAGGTGGGAGGTCTCCACGAGGCTGCTCCGCCCTGGCGGGCAGCGGCGACGCGCTCCACAGCGCGCACGCTGCTTGACGCCTTGCGTGCTCCCTCCGCCTGCTCCTGCTGCTGCTGCTGTTGCTCCTGCTGCTGCTGCTGCGCACTTGGCCGTTGCACTGCGGTTTCCGTTCCATCCCCCGCCTGCTCTCCGCTTCCCACTGCTCCTTGCATTCCGCTCATCTGCGCCCCCCTTCCCATCACGCCGCCTCCCTGCCTCGCCGCGCTCGCCGCCTCGCTCCTCTGCGCTGCCCTTTGCGCCTTCCCCGCATCCATTGCCAAGTCCGCCTGTCCATCCCGCGGCGTGAGAATGGACGACACTGCCACCCGCCGGCTTCTTCCATAACCGCCGATCGCGGGGACGCGCGGCGCGGTAAGGAAGAAGGGGGATGGTGCAGCAGGGAGAATCGGTGAAAAGTCAGGCCGAAGGAACGGTGTGACTAGATTCGGGGTGGGAGGATGCCGCTCAGGGCAATGTCGCCCTCTGAATGCCTTTGGCCGAAGCAATGCCGTCGTCTGTGACTGTGAAAGCGATGCCATGGCTGGTTCTCTGCTCGCTTTCCATTTTTTGTCAGCCAGCCATTGCGAGGCGATCAGAGATGTCGTCCGGTGTGCCCGATCCAGTCTGGTGATTCCATGATTGGTCTTGCAACCCAGTATCTGTTGTTCGCATGTGCAAAGGCTGACGAAATAGGATGAGTAACCGCGGAACGCAAGGAAGGAACTCCGAGTACAGAACTTGAGGACCAGTTGCTAAGAAATGTAATCGGCCTTGAGAATGTCACGCTGACTCCCTACGGTTGAGGGTTGCTCTAACATGGTTGACAAAACCTGGCAGGTTGGCGGGAAACTGAAACTGTACTGAGAGCTCTGACATTCGTTGCAAGTGACGTGTTGCCACGCTGGAAACGAAGGATCAGCCAGCTCAGCAGGAGAGCTGGGTTCGCCAGGCCTGCACGCGACAAACCCTCGCGCTTTCGCATTGTTGGACACAACTTTTCCATTGTTGGACGCGGTTGCATAAATGAGCTCGAAAGTTACCCGGCTGTATACAGCTTCAGTATTTTAAATTCAATTGCTGTTTT